TGCTACCTCCACAGAAGTTATTTGCAGATAGTTTTAGTTACTCTTTGACTTGCCCGAAGGGGAAAGAGTTGCTCAAAAAATAAAGAGGTCAGTGGGGGCTGCAGAGATTGTCCCTTATTTCTGTGTGGTCTTGGGAGGTCCTGTTTTCCCAGCCTGTAAAATGGAGGATATTCTTACCTGATGGAGGTGGGAAGTATGTTGAGATGTGCAGCACAAGTTTGCCAGGTACCAAACTGCAGAGGGAAAGGTAAATGGGCCCCGTGCTCTACAGCAAACCCAAACCACAGAGTTTGCTGCCACTCCTGGATAGAGCAGAACACAGCTGAGGTCCTCCTTGAAATCAAAGGGGAATGTGCCAAGCAAGCAGCCACCACTAGGAAACAACACACTGCCTGCACAGAGGTCTGAGTGCTGCAGCTCTGTACAGAGCATCACTGATGCTCAGCAAGTTCAGTTTCCAAACTGGGCACTAATAGTTATTTCTCCCTCTTGGGGCTGGTCTGGGAGCAGGATGCTCCCAATCTTGGTGTCATCAGAGTGGCAGTGGTTGTGTATGAGCATGTGTCAGGTGGAAGAAAGAAGTGGCAAAGCAGCCTTGCAGATAAATGTTCTCACTGGTGGTTGTGTTTGTGTGCGTCTGTTTATTTTAATTAACCTCCAAACAATGTATTTGATTTTTTTCTTAATTTTAAATATTGAACCCAGCTTCAAAGTGATCTCCTGAGGTAGTGGTTCAGATAATTCCTGGCAGAGAACAAGTTTTGGGTAAGAGCTGGAGCCTCATAATGAGGCCTTGAAACATAAAGCCATCACTTCATTTCCCCAGGTACCTGCGTGCCTGGAATACATCCTCCTTATACTCCTTTGTTTGAACTCTAGGAGGGGTGACAGAGTTATTAATTAAAACTGTGGCATGCACAAGGTTTGGAAAGGGAACAAGAAATGCAAAAGGAGTGATTTCCTCCTCCTCCTCCTCTCCTTCCCCTGCAATTTATTCTATTCCTGGTTTTCCATGTGATATCTTGTCCTTGCAAATAAAAAAAAACCAACCCACCTCCCCCATCCAGACTTATTTTGAGGAGGTGCTTGGGAACACCTTTTGCTTTGAACTGTATCCTTACTTTATTTCGTAGGTACGAAGGCAGCAGCAGGGACCCACCCACATGCTCCCTGGATTGGGGATATTGGCACTGTGCAAATATAACACAAAAAAACGTGTAGGCAGTAAATCCCTGTCCTGTTCTGGGGATACGAGGGGAGTTCACAGAAACACCTTTCGGTTCACAGCCCTGTTTGAGCCACTGATGTTGCCCCCATCTAGGTCAGGCTCTTGAAGTGGAAAGATGTAGAGGGAGTTACAGGTGAAGACTACAGGTCAAATCAAGGAATCCAGTGCTGTTATCTCTTTTAGACAACAGTTCCGGGCCCATTATCCAGCAGAAAACCTACTTTGTAGCATCTGCTTCTCTGTAACCTTCTTGCCACTCTTCCCCATCACTGAAGAAACTGCTGTTCTTACTGGCCCGGATGCTGCAAGCATAAGTGCATTGTCTGTAGTGATGTGATTTTAAAAAAATTAATATATTAAAAACATTTCCTTCCTCTACAATCATGATAATTTTTGAGCTTCCTGCAGTGGAACATTTTCTTAATTGAATTCCTAGTACATTGAACATCTCTAAAATGCATGAATGGCAATTTCATCTTGCTGGCTGCATTCTTGCAAGGGACACTCTTTGAGGACTGTTCATGAAACAAAGACCTTTTTCCCCTCTCAGGCCAAGGTTTTAACTCCTGTCTTTGCTTCACCAGTCAGCATCAGCCTTGTTTTCAGTGTGGTAGGTCCTTTGTTGGAGAAGAGCTCCTGTGTCTGTCACAGGAAACAGGTACATCTCTGCAAGAGCTTCATCACTGTTGAGCTGCCTCTCCAGGTAGTTCATCAAACCTCCTCCTGCTTATCTGAGCACAAACCCTGACTTGCTTGTACCAGACAATTTTTGCAGCATTCCCTTGCCACGTCTCCTGATGCTGGCATGACTCCTGATGGAGGGCATGCTCCACCATACTCTCCATCCCGAGCTGCATCTGAAGACATCCATAATTCCACGTAGGTGCTTAGGTTGCACAGAGCTTTGCAGAGCTAGTAAAAGTGCATCTGGTGATGTTACAGCTGCCTTGTTTCATTGGTAATGAAAAAGGGAAGCAAAGAGAAGATGGGAATCCCACTGTCACAGTTATCTGGCTTCAGTGTAGCTGGTGTCACACAGACATGACTCCTTCTCCTTGGGGTTTTTGAGCAAAGAGCCTCTCCTGGCAGCCAGTCTGTGTCTGCTGTACCCCAGTGCATGTTGCTGGTTAGCTCTAGCCTTGGAGAAGCGGCACTATTGGTCCTGTGAGGACCAGCTGAAATCCAGCAGTGCTCCTGGGGTGAGCACAACCCAGGTGCTGCAAAGAAAAAGCACAGCAGCAATCTGAGCACAAGAACTGGTGCCCTTGGATAGCTCATCTGTTAAGGCAGGGCTGCATTCTTGGGGTTAAGAGAGTTATCACAGCCAGAAACTGGCATTAGGAGAGTAAGGAGATGTGCTCCATCTCTGCTACACAGAAAAAGGTGCATCAGTTATGGGAGAGAATCTTTTGAATCTTGTTTAGATGTGACACACACAATTCTCAACTCTGGGATCATTTATGCTCTCTCTTTGGTTCCAGAGAGATTTCCAGAGCTTAATTATTATTATTATACATTAGTGCTTCCCAAGGTCTGAAGTATTCAATGAAGACCAACACAGGGTGAATGAGATATAAAGGGATTTGGGTTCCTTTGAGAAGAAAATCCCAGCCCAGCCTTCTCTGAGAAGCCAGTACCATCCCTTCCCTTTGCAGCCAGGGCTGGCTGTTCAAGGTTTGCAATTCAAAGCAAAGAGACAGTCCAGAGGCTGCAGGACCAGGAAGTGATTTCCAGAGCAACCCCACAGATTGCTGCCGGTTGTGCAGGAGCTAAATTGAGCACACACGTATCGAACAGCTGCAGCTTTGCCAGCTTATTGCACCCAGAAAAGCCATGCTTAGGGCATGCAGAGCTCCCCAAGCGATTGTGTGCCGTGCTGGGTCATTTTCTGTGGCAGAGGTTTTTCCATGATTACTTTGTAATTGTACTTTTTACCTGTCATTTTGTGACTTGCCAGGCAAGGCTATGGATGGAGCACGTTCACTTGAAACATTATTCTTCAGATTTGGCAGAGAGATTACAAACTTTTAGGGAAAAAACCAGAAAGACTAATGGGAAATAATCTCCTCTTCACAGGAGGTCTGAATTCTTCCCTCTCCTTCTTTGAAGGTCAGGGTCTATCACAAGCCAGCTGCATCACAGCTCCAGCAGAACATCTCTCCCTTGCTATCCAGCTTCATTATGGTTCCTGTTGTCTCTTTTCTCCCAGGACAACGTTGTGCTGCACTTGGCTGCTCATGAGGGAAGGGAGCCCTCACAAGCAAACCTCTTGGGGCATGGAATAGTCCTGATAAAAAGCTGTTTATGTGCAGTGAGAAGATGCCTAGCTTGAAATCACCCTGCAGTCTTCCTCTGTGCTCCATTATAAGTGTGGCAGCAGGCAGGTAAATCCTGCTGGTTAACAGAGAACAGCTTTTTGCCCCTAAAAAATTGTTGAGTCCAGCTGTTTAGAAGGAAAGCACCAACTATCTGCTATCTCAGGAAACTCAGAACAAGCAAAAGTGCAAGGCATTTCACGCCGAATCTACAGGGCCAAAATGTGTGCAAGAACACTTTAAGCCCCTGGGGCTTAACACATCTGCCAACAGAAGTAGTAGTACAGGGACTGATTAGGCCATTTCAGTGTTTAGTGGTGATTTTGCAGAAGATGCTCTGTACTGAAGATGTTTTCCCATTTGGGTTAGCATAGGAATGCTCTCCTAAAACACTGAACATGAACGATATTTTTAACTTAAAATGGCTGCTCAAAATACAAATAAGAGTGTAGCTAATTAAGCCCCTGATCATTTAAAATTACTGTATGGGGCTCAGGGAAAATAGTCCCTATCAGTGAGGGCAGAGCACTTTGCTAAAGGCATGTCTAAAAACAGGTGCTACAGAGGGGAAGGAAGGTCTCGAGACTTTTCACCTCCCATCTACAGAACAAAACTGTGCCTTTTTTGTGTTAATTTTGATATTTTTCTAGTGTCTTTGATTTGCTACAGAGAAGAAACAAGGAATAACAAACACAAAATCTTCTACAGCTTCAGTGTCCTACTTTCCAGCTCTCCCCTTTTCATTGATCACCTGCATGGAGTGCAAGGCGTACATTTTACTCGAGGCCAGAGCAGATCAAAAACACTCAATATGTTATACATGTGTTCAGTTAGGAACTTAAATTAGGTTGCAGTTCAGTGGGGAGGGTGGCAGAGTAAGGTTTTCTTCCCTGCACAGGCCCAGTGACAGAGCAATTGATAATGGCTGTGTATTGTCACCTCTTGCCATCTTATAGACGGGATCCCTGGCTTGGTGACACTCAGCAGTGACATCCCACAAAAAATGAGTCTTCTTTGTGTCACAGTCTGGGGTCTTGCTTTAAAGAAAAAAAAAGAAAAAAGGAAAACACACATTAAAAAAAAAAGTATACAGCTGAGAATTTTAGGAGGGTGATCCAACCCCCTGCAGCCGGAGAAAGAGACTGTCATGACTCCTAACTCTGGTACTCTGGCTCAGACCCTAAATAGTTGAGGTCAAATTATTAATAGAGAAGGTGAGTGACAGATTCCAGACCCTCAAGTCAGGCTGCCTCCCAGCATTTTCTGCTTGTAAAAATAAGTAGCCTTTCTCCACTTCTAACAAAAATCTCTTCCCTGGCTCTCCTTGACGGTTCCCCCTCCTGTCTCCACCTCCAGAGATGTCTGAACAGTATAATTTCCTTTTATTTTTAGCCATCTTTCATGATTGAAAGTATCTCTGTGTCAAATAGAAAACGTTCCCATGAATTCCTCAACAGGCACTTACTGCAAGCAATTGATGAAAATGAAATATTTAATGGGGGTTTATACCTGTGGACTTGGTGACACTGCTGCATCTCAAGAGCAAAACTGTGATGACATCAGGATGGATGGTCATGAGGCCAATCACCTCCCCAGCTTCAATGGTGCTTCTCTTTTGGGGTAAGTATTGGATCTGGCCTGGGGGGTTGTGTGAGTTGGTGGCAGGTGAGCTTTGGGAAGCAGTGGCTGCTCCTGACACCAGAGTTTCCAGCTCTTCCTCCTGAAGACCCAGTAGTGCTGCCTGAGGCAAAGCTGATGTTTCTCACTTGTCAGTAGCATGTGACTGCAATGCTCTCCAGAGATCCAGCCGTGTTCACAGGCAGCTGTTCATCTCATCTAAGGTAAGAACCACTTGGAATCAGATCCAGAGTCCAGTTAGCCACGTTCCTTCTCTTGCAAAGTGACCAGAGCAGATACCTCTGGAAGAAGACAACACAGGAGCTCCTTCAGGAGGTCTCCTGCATACTGCTACCGACTCACACTAGTTTTTACTTGGGATTTTCCTGAGGCATCACTTTTGCCTTTGCATTTAATAGTCTTTGAAGGATTTGTCTTCCCTGGATTAGTTCACCTCTTCTCAGGCCAGTTCTGCGCTCCCGTTCTTATGCTCAGGGAGACAGACACTGCTCCTGCTCATCCTCAGCAGCTCAGCTGGATTTTGCCTTGGCCTGGAGAGCTGCAACAAGAGCATTTCCAAGACAGTAGAGGAACCAAAACATCCCCTTGCTTGCACACAGTGAGGCAGGAGTTGATTCAGTTTAACCCAGCTACTAAAACTGACCCTGAGGATCCAAGGTTTTAATTGCATCCACTTCACAAATCAAGCTCTCCCTAATCAAACTCTCTTGTTGTGATTCACCCCTAGCCCACAGCCAAGATAAAGAAGACAGGCCTCCCTTCTCTCTGCCCTTTCTCTCTTCCTAATCAGCTAATAACATCTCCTTCCTATGTACCCCCTTCTGGACTGCCTCTCCTCCTTGAAGTGTCACTGCTCTGTCCCAAGCCACCTCCCAGGTGGCTTGTGCATCTCACAGCATCCTGGTGGAAAAGGGTGTGAGGAATCCTGTTGTGTCCTTAAAAATAAGGAGGTAGGACCCACCTTCTCACTGCTGCCCCCAAACATGGGTATCAGCCTAAGGAGGGTCTCCTTTGCTGCCTGTGTCAGTCCCTCATGGTTTTCTGTTGCAAAAGCTGTGGAAGAGAGTTTTTGGTGTACTGCATCCACTTGGGAATCATAACACTACTGGAATTTATGAATCATAACTAATCACGTTGCCAGGTACAGGGAGGATTATACGATGTGTGATCTAATAACTCCAGGCTGTTTAATCACCTGTGGTAGGTTCTGAGCACGTTGCATGACAAGTAACACAGCTGACCTTTTAAGGTGAAACCACAAAAGGTGTTTCTTTCACAGGTCTTTCCTCGCTTGGCTTGGCTACAGCATCCCTACAAGTAGCAGGACCTCCTTGCCTGTTGGAAGCAGGCAGGAGTGTTGTCCCACAGGTGTTGTCACATCTCAGAGGAATTTCCCACCGGGATTTCTGCGGCACTTTCAATGGCAAGGGAAGGAACTGAGTCTGAACTTTGCATGACGTTGTTGCAAGGTATCCACAGATGCCCAGAAGCCAACACGGCCTCCAAAGGAAGCCGGGAACGTTCTGCCATCCCGGAGAAGACATGTCTAGGGCTGACCCAGGACTGTAATCCAGCCCTGCAGTTTATGTGCAGGTGAGTTGGGTAGGGTGAGAGTGAGCAAACCCATGCCATTTGTGCATTGTTCATTCACTCCTGTCCCCCCAGCCCCAGTGAAACACTTTTGCCCTATGAAGAGCAACCTCTGCCAAGAATAATGAAGATAATGAAGATGCCACTTGCCTGGCTGTGACAATCCCTTCCTGCTGCCACCCCAGCACCACAAGCAGCTGAGGTGAGTGCCACCAGCACAACGTTCTCAACAACCTCTTGGTCTAAGCTTAGCTTAACCAGTACAGATAAATCTGCTGTGTGAACAAAACTGCGTTTAACTGCTGAGATAAATTCACAACAATTGCCCAGATGATGTTCACCCTTCCAGGGGTTTTTGTGACCGAGCAGGGGTTTTCTGGGTAAACCCACGCTCTGCCCATGCTCTGGCAGCAGCTTTCCCAGGCAGCCAAAGCACAGCTCCTGCTCTCGAACGCCTTCCCTGTGGCCCTTGGAGTGGTTTCAAGAGAAAAGCGAAACGGCGACATTTTAAACGTCTCCTCCCACGCAGTGTCTCTCTTCAGCCTCCGTTCCCACTTGCCGTGAGTTCAGAAGTCTCTGGTGGATCAGTCTACCCCCGGAAAACTGTGGGCTTGCCAAAATAGAAGCATTTTTGCAGAAGGCAGTGATTTGGCTGAATGTTTTGCCAGCACATGTCTCTGGGGTTTGCAATTTGTTTCAGCATTTTGTGTTTTTATTTTATTTTGGATTTCGTTTTCTTGTACACAATGCTACCAAAACAAAATATTTTAATGTTTGCAAATAATTTTTTTTTTTTTTTTGGTGGGGGGAGGAAACCAAGATTTACAAATACATTTTGCAATGCCAGGATTCCCTACCCAGCACTAGTCTCATTTTGCTGTCAGCTCACAGTATCAGCTCTGGTTACGTAGAAGTCACTGTGAAAGGACCCGAATGTCTTTCCCACTAATATGCTTTACTTTCAGGATGGTGAATTATTTAAAATGCTTTCTATGGCCTTAGTCTTTCCCAGGTCCCAGTCTCATATTTCGTTAATGTCAGTCTCATAATCGATTATTTCTTTTCTGGTGGCATCTCCTGTCAAGGACCAAGGTGCAGTTGATACCCTCCTGGTTGGTGATGGAGAGCAGAGCTGGGGTGATGCCCTAATTCAACCAAAGCTGGGAACGTCTGTGACCTTCACAGCTGAGAGTGAGTTGGAGGAGAGCAAAGCCAAGAGCTGAGTAGAGAAATTAAACAAGCCAGGTGAAGCAGACACTGGGATTGGGATAGACCCTAAGCAGAGAGTGTGAGGCAAAACAAGAAAAGCTCTTTCAAGACAATGGGAAGCATTTTAATTTGAAATGCCTCTGTAAGTGCTGTTTTCTGGCACCTGGGAAAACTACTCAGTAGTTTTACTCAGTCATAGCAGGAAAAGAGAGGGAAGAGTAATGCATCCAGCGGAAATTCCTGCAGGTCTTGGCTCAGCAGACCATAATTGGAGACTGGAGCCTGCTCAGGACACTGGAGCTAACACCTCCACCCTTACAAGAGGTGGAATCTTGGGTGACCACAAGTGGTAAGCTTGGGATGTCATTAAAATAGCAGCACCTGCAGCAGCACAGAGCCCTGAACTCCCAGCCAAGGAGTTTCATCGTGCTCCTGACTTAGAGGGAAGATGCCACCTACTAAATCACCCAAACTACTTCCTGCAGCACCTGTTTTTTCCTCGCATCTCCTATCCAAATGGTGACTAGACCCATGTGAAAAATGCTGGATCTGCTGGGCTGGGCATTGCTGGATCTGCACCACACATTGCCATCAGGTCGGATGCAGGAGGACTAACACACAGAAGGATTTATACCTGTGCCCACACCATGGGCAGAACAGGAGCATGTTCCATCCTGGAATGCACCTCTCCAGCACTTGGCCTACCCTAATCGATGGCCGTTGTTCCTGGATGTGGACTGGAAGACAGGCAGAGACATCTCTTGTGCTGGCTGAAGCCTTCAGCAGGGAGGAGGACTGTGGCCCTCTCACCTGCCTGCTTGCTCCTCAGCTTTCTCTTTCTCAAAGGCTTAAAGAAACTGCAGAGATTCTGAGATTTTTCTTTTTTCCTTTCTTGAAAGCGTGGCTAAAAATAGAGTATTGAAACCAAGCCCAGCCCAGAAAGCAGAGTGTGTAGGTGTGATGCAAACCAACACCTGGGGCTGTGAAGCATCCTGGGGGAGCTGGCACCCATCTGGCAGACGTGTTCTCTCTTTCCCCTCATTCTTCCTTTGGCACCTTGTCAGAGAGCACAGGAGATGCTGAACCTAAAGTAATCTTGTGTGAAAATAACCTACACACGTTGTTCTGGTTATGAGGAGAGGAGAACAAGGAGGAGGACAACAGTTTTCATTTGCAAAACTGTCTGAGACCCCTGAGCTGCTGCTGTGCTCTCTGATTTTATTTCCTGGCTGAAGGTTTCTAGAGGTGGCTGGTAGAAAACAGTGATGACAGGTGCTGCTTTGTGGTGGTGGGCCAGGATATCTCTGAGGTGTAAATAGGCCAGCAGATGACATGCAGTGCACAGGGGTGATTTCTTGGACAGCACTGGGTGCCAAAGGGGGAAGGTTCAACAGAAAGGAGCTCCTCCAAGTGTCATGAAACCATGGAACCTGTAAGGAAGGCTGCTGTGGCAGTTGTCTCCTCAGTTATAGGTTTTCCATGGCTGCACAATGTGGACATGCCAGTCCCACAGTGCACCCCTCTCTCACACACTCCCAGCAAGAATGTGGGCAGGTCTTGTGGGTGTGATGGGGAGACACAGGTCTCCCTTGAAGAAAGGGGATTTGTGGGGCCTTTGTATAGAGAGAGAAATCATAAACCATGTGTGTGACACTACCATAGTCCCCCCAGAAGACCTGTGCCTCCACCCTGCCATAGCAGAGGGGATTGGGGCAGGATGGGCGTTAACATGTAAATCCTTACACAGCCTGAGGACTACAGTTACCATGGATGAAGGGCTGTGGTGGACAGACATGGGCTTAGTGTCTGTCATCTGTAATGCAGTGGAGACTGGTGTTTGGTACAAGGAGAATTTGCCCCTCTTGGGTGCAGTTAATTGCTTGACAATGCCGTGACCTTGTGGCAACTCAGATGCTCCCTCTGCGTGCCCAGAAGGGGCTGTGTGCAGCCTTAGGGATGGGAGGATTACCCTGGGGTTTGATGAAGAAGGTGGCACAGGCAGGAGAGTGCATGTACAGGGTGAGTTTTATGAGCTGCATTGGTCTGGCCATGCCCTACACAGGGGCACCTCTCGAGCACAGCACCCCAGATACTCCAGCAACCTGAGAGGCAGTAATTCCCTTTCCTCCCTGCCATCCCCAACACCTCTGGTAGTGCTGGAAAATGGTAGGAAAGCAAGTATCCTCAGAGCAAGCCAAGTCAGAGAGCTATGAAGTTGGAAAGAGGGCTTTGAAAATCCAGGTGGGAACCAAACAGGCTGTGCTTCGAGTGGCAACTTCCCAGAGATGGGCTTCCAGGGACAGTCCATCTGGTGATGCCTGTGGATACCAGCCAAAAAAAAAAAAGGCATGAACATTGCCAAGACCCCTCATTAAACTCTCCTCCCCTCATCCACCACCCTTGCTGATGTAAGTGCATGGCTGGAAGCAGTTCATTCCCTATCAGCCCTTTCCTGCTTATCTGGAGCCAGCGGCGAGAGCAGGAGCTGCTCTCACAGAGGGACCCTGTAAATCCTGGGATGAACGCCCGGACCAAGAGCTATTTCCCAGGGGGATCGGGGTGGATTGGGTAATTAATCACAGCTTGTCTGGGGGAGGATGAGGAAGTCTGAATAAAGGTGTTAACGGCTCTTAAAGGCTTTCCTGGTTCACAGAGGGTGCTGCCTCAAACAGATTATCTGGAAATATTATTAGCTGGAGTGGGAAAGGGGTTTTTTTCTCCTCTAGGTTCTTTGCAGCCACCCTAAATCTGCTTGAGCTGTTGAGACAGGTTTTATTGTGCAGGAGGTGGTGGGGGAGAGGTGTTGGCTGTCAGTGGGTCAGCAATTAATTGGTTTATTCCTTTCTCACGGTTATTTTCTGACCAACATCTGCTAAAGCCCCGGTGCCCGCTTTGTCCCAGCTCAGCAAACAAGAACCACAGGGATTTGCATGAGGGGACCCCAGGCCACGAGGGTGGCTTTGCAGGGGCTGCTGGGAGGTCCCTTGTCCTGCCAAGCCTCTTTCCCTGTTATCTCGTCTTAGGAGGAGGATGTGATTAGTGTTTTGTGCCATGGGATGTCAGCTGAGGGATGAGAACTGGGTGCCAAGAGGAGGAAAGAGCTGCCACAGATAGGTGGTAAGTGAAAGCAGAGACCTGCCCCCTTTGCTCCAAAGGAAACTTTCCTTCCAATGTCTTCATGGCCATCAGTTCAGACAAATGCTGTTTTCAGCCCCATGCTTCTCTCCCTGGAGAAGTGACCCTCAGTCACGTGTTTCTGGGTGAGGGTGGGCTCTCTTCCATCTGCTGCTGCCATCTGGGAAATCATTTCTGATTGATCCAGCTTAACTGAAGTGCCATTCCTGTTTACCTGTGGCTTTGTTACAGTTCTAGTAGGTTAGAAACAGAGGGTGCCATCCGAGCAGAAACCTTGTGCCCTTCCAGCTCAGCCCAGTCTCTGCCCCAGCTCTGCTGCTGTAAATGAGCTGCAGTGGGTGGTGGGGCTGTGCTGGTACAGCTATGCCAGGCAGTGGGGGCTCACTGTGAGCCCTACCAATGGCTCCCTCACAGTAATTGCTCTGATAGTTCTTCTGAGCTGGGAAATCACCTTTCAGATCAGAGCAGGGATAGAGAAAGAACATGGCTTTGGCCTGAAGGATTTTGATAGCTGTAGCTTGGCATCATTTTGGCTTGGAGTGAAAAACATAAATTTTGAGTTCTAGAAAGGTGGTGGAGTGAGGACTGTGAAATTACTGTGCGGGGTAGTCTGCTCTCTGCTGCACTTTCCTGGCCTCCCCCAGGCCTGCTGGGCAAGTGGGAAACCCCCTCCAAGAGAAATTAATTGGAAATCACATCATCCACAGGGAATATTTCCCTGTTGCAGTGCTGCTACTTCTCTCCCAGCTCTCTCTATATATTTAATAGGCATTAGGCACTCTGAGCAGAGTCCCTTGGGCTGCTTTCTTCATGGTTGCATCGATTTCCAACAACTAAGTTAGCCCCAAAGAAAGCATAATGAAAGCAGCAGATTTCCAGGTCTCTCTTTTTCCTTTACAGAGGGCCATGCCTTTCACACATGAAGCATAGCGAGCCCAAACCGGATCCCCATTCTCCATGGAGATCAGCCTGCAGGGATGACGAGAGAAGCAGAGTGAGTCCCCAGCCCTCTCCAGAGCAGAACTGCAAAACCACAGGCTTCAGCAAAGCCCTTTGAGCCAGCCCACTTCCCAGCAGAGTGACTGTCCCTTTCTCTACACTCAGGCCTGGAAATAATGACAGGTATGGAAAATCCATTACAAATAACTAATAACGCTCCGCGCAGCACTGCCGGCTCCATGAGCGCTTCCCCAGCTGCAGGGAGACCACAGGAGCACTCCCTGGAGCAAGCAGACACAGGTGGTGCTGGCATGTGTCTGGAAACAGCCCAAAGGTGGGGGGAGCCTGAATGTCTGGTGTTCTGGACCCTTCTCCTCTGCCATGGGACATCTCATCAAGCCCTGTGTTTCCAGGCAGCCCGATGTCAGCCCCAGGTGAGGCAGTGGTGGCAGAGCAGGGAGATAACCCTGTTTCCTTGAAGCAGAAATGTAATTTTGTGTTAAAATTGCTTTTTCCTCCCAGAAGGTCCTTAAGCATTCCCTAAGCTATTAAGAGGCAGAGGGGGATCTGGCTGGCCTGCCTGCAAGGCAGGGGTGGGTAAGAGGGGAAGGAACCAGGCTCTGCCTGGGTTGGCACTGGCGACCAGCACCTTAACCATGGAAAGGGAATGTTGGACAAGGGCTCCAGCAAAACCCTGAAGCAGCAGATGTTGTCAAGTAGCTCCTACAGGCTCATACTGAACCCAAGGGCTGTGTCCACATCCAACAATGTAAGATTTTTCTCACGGGGTTTCCAGAGAGCATGGAGCAGGCCAGAACCAGGAGAGAGACAGGCTTTTTAATGTTGGACTGTTGTTACTGTGTAAACCAGAAAGCAAAGGGTCAGTGTTTCTAGTCTGCATGCAAACTTTGAACTAAGCCAAGCTCTTGCTTGTTCCAGTATCCCTTTCCTTCTTGAAGGATGTTTCTGGCATCATGTTTCTGGGGAAGGAAATCAGCCGTATGGTCAGCAGGGGGGCACACTGAACCTGCCAGTGCTTGATAAAGGCAGATCGATGCTTCAGGAGGAGCAACTGGACAAGGGGCTCATCACAGGCATCTTCCTCCTGTGCTCCTTGCTTCCCTGCAGCCTCTAATTCTGCAAAGCACTTTGGATTGTAGCTCCTGGGACTGAATGGATGTACCCGGTAGTCTTGTGTTGCCCACTGCAGCAATAGATATGCATAGTGTGCATGATGGAGAAGAGACAAGCCATTTGTTCTCATCTTGAAAAGACTCCTGTTGCCAGGGAAGCACCAGGGCTCACACCCCAGCTTCTGTGTCATCAGTAACTCTCCTGCTGTTGAAATTGCGTTGTCTCTCTTAATCATGAAAGGCTTATTTTCCCACACTGGAAAATGAATTCAGCACCATTGGCAAAGCTGGGGGCTGGGAAGTTTTAATTACTGTTTGTACAGTGCTCTGGGGCTCTGGGGTGAATGGTGCTGGAGGCCTGGGAAGGGTTATATTATATATTAGCAGTTACTTATGTTTTATTATATATCTGAGCTCTGTGGTCTTGTCTCTGTGGTCTCCTTCCTGATGCCTAAGGTGCAGTGGGGCTTCCTAACTCGAGCAGTACAAATACCCACCCTCCTGTCACTGCTACCATTGCTGAGCATCACTGCAGAGTATGAGGGAGACCTAGAAAGCCCAGTGTCCACCTACAGCCAAAATAAACTCAGCCACTGTGTGCCTGTAAATACTCACCTGCTTTCTTTGGGGAAGAAGAACCCTAAAGCCCTTCTCTCATGGGGCTTTTACCACTAAAACATCTTTTCCTTAGGCAATGCAGCCACATCCTGCACTGACCTTCCTGTACCCTCCTTGTTCAGAACAACACCTTCTTAATTATAATCCATCAAATTCCTCTTTCCTCTACCTGGAAAAAATGGGATTTGGGGACAAGGAACGAATACAGAGTCATAAGTCTCTTTTCATGGGAAAGGAAATCAGTCCAGCGCCCTGCTGGGAGCCCTGCTTTGCCTAAACCCTGGCAAAATGCAGTAAGAAGTTAAGGCTCTTAGCGGGCGAACATTACAAGAGCCCTATTAAGCACAGCTCAGGTCTTTGTGGTCAAGTGTTCCCTGCTGCACCCGGCGCTCCACGTTTTACACAACGGGGCGATTGTGGCCGCGCCGCTCTGGCATCGGCACCCTGCGAGTGCCCACCGTGGGCTGCACAGGATGGGCTGCTCAGCAACCCCACAGGGCAAAGCCAGTGCTTTGGAAAAGGATTTTGCAGAGTATAGGAGTGTTTCAATGTTGGCAAAGGCCAGGAAAATGGACTCATTAGCTATCAATTAGTATATGATCCCACACGTGTAACAGCTGCGGGCGTGTGATGGTGTCTCAGCTTATGATAGCATCCATGTGAAAATCAGGGAGAGAATATGATGACTTTGACCTCAATTTTTAATTTACACGCACACACATCCCCCACCCCACATTTGTGTTTTGGTGGCACACTTGGTTTTCTGACAGATACTTCCAAAATATTCCACTGAGTACTGCAAGGGGCAAAACTGGAGTGACTTAAAATTTACCAAAGCTTCTCAAATGCAAAACCCCCTCCAAAAGATGTGCTTTCCCTCTCTAGCCAGCTATCACCTGGTGGTTCCTCCTGAATGGTTGAGTCCTGGGATGGTGGGCAGGCCCTTGCTGCCTGTGCCAGGCATAATGGGCAGGGCAGAGAGCACAGGCAAGGTCCCAAGGTGAGGACAAAGCCTGAGTATGAAAGCACTGCAGTTACCACACACTGCCAGCACTGCTTCCCATGTTTCCATCACAATCTGGGACAGACAGAAGGCAGGAAGAAGTTAGCTGAGCCTCTGTGCCCCTGATGCTGCTGCTCAAGGGGGTTTCTTTTACTGCCAGGTACATTATGGTTTCTGATAGGTGGCTGCTGGGTTGACACCTGTGGCTTTCTTGGGGCAGTTGGTTCTAGGTCCAATGGGTTACCATGGCCACATCACTGAAATCAGGCAAGGAACGCATCCACCAGTCCTTTCAGCAGCACCAGAGTGTGTCAGAGTGTGATGGAGCCAGCCCAGCCCTGTGCCTGGGAAGGACAGAAAGGCAAGAGTGTAAACAGTCCGACTCACATCCCTCCAGCACTATCCCACTGGTGAGCAGATGTCAGAGGAATGTATTTTGCAATGGCTTTATTCAGTCTGGAGTAACTCCTGTTCTCTCTCTTTCAGGATATTCTTCTCTGCAGACCTGCCTGACAGAGAGTGAGGAGGGATCCAGAGTGAAGCCACAAAACTGATCCTGAGGAAGAAACACAGCTTGCCTCCCGTCCTCCACCCCTGCAGACCCAAGGGGAGGGACTGTCCATGGATGTCCCTTTGGGTCAGAATCCTGGGCAAGGCAGCATCCCTGGGTGCTCAGCAGTCTCTTTGAGAGAGTTTTTGTTTAGGTTGGCCGCTGCTGATCCCAGCCTGTCTTCAGCACACAGATGCTTTTAACCTCCTGAGGAGGGGTCTGAGTGGCCAGCAGCTGCTGAGGACACTGCCACAATTCAGCCATGTCCCTGCTCAGGGCACAGACTGTAAACACAGTAGGGAATCCAGGCCATATCCCAGCCCAGCTTGGCTGCCTGGCTTGAGGTCCTCATCACCCAGAATTTGGAGCTTGCCTCTTTTTCCATTACCTCTAAGCAGAAATGGTGAATGTTTCGGTAATGTTTCCTAAAAATAAAAATGTCAACAGAAAGAGCCATTTAATGACATGAGTCTGTGCATCTTTGGGCCCTGAGCAATCCACAAGCTGAGAAGAGAAATGCTGAAATAGCTCAGGAGTTTGAAGATACTCTGAGAAGGTTCCTTACTGCCCATGGATGCTTTCACCAGCATCACCTGGGGCAGCAGGGTTGTTTGAGAACTGTTCCCTCCCTAGGCAAATAGCCAATTTTCTCCCAAACCAGTCCATCTGTCCAATACTCTGCCTGATGGAAAAGCCTGTATCTGAAAAAAAGGCAACACAGCTTGTGTGACCGTGCTGAGATGCCTGTAGTGTGTCAGCATGGGGACTGGGTACTGCTCCAGCACTTACATGGGGTGTTATGGCTTTCTTTGGGAAAGAAGTCAAAGGATATAGGCACCCTATGTTAGACTAGGCTTTGCTAAGCAGGAATGCATAAACTTGGTCCAGCCTATAATAGCCTTAAATGTCAAGGAGTGGCTTTTGATGCAAAACTCAGGAGCTGTCCTGACAGCAGCACAGGAGAGAAACCAGAGAGCAAGTACTTTGTGCAGCCTTTTGGAGAATGAGTGGATGAATCAGGGTGTAAAGATAACACAGTTAACTCCTTCAGGCAGCTCAGGCAATGTTAAACCCCTGAAATTCAGGTTTTTGAGGAATGACCCTACTTAGCATCCTTGCTTGCCTTCCTCAAGCCCTACTCTGTACCCATCCAGAACTGATCCTTTGTAGGAGACAGGGACAGGAGCTTCTCCCAGCCAGCTGAACATGGATGGTGGATGCTCAGGTAATTAAAGAATTGGTATGAGCTGCATTAGCCCATCTTCTGTGCCCCATCTAATTTGGCAGGTCTGATGGATGTGCTGCATGGTTACAGAGCCCAGAGCTCAGTACAGGAACGGGGCATCTGAGGACACCAGGAGGACACTGAAAGCCTTGTCATAAAGCCTAAAGTCTCACAGCAAGTGTCTATTAATAAGCCATGCCCACGCTTCCTCCAGGTATTTACAGTGCCCTTTCTCTCTGTTAGCTTTGGAAACCACAGCTCCATTTTGACAGAGCAAGTCCTTTTCTTTCAGTGATGCACTTGGTGCCACAAGTGTGTTTGGCTGGGGCTGTGCGTCAGTAAAAACCTACCTCACTTTGGGAAGTGAACAGGATTTCCCTCTAAAAATGATCTCTGTCTCCAGATGAGCAGTTTCAGCCTGTCCTCTGGGAGCCTCTCTGCTGTGGAGATGGTGGCTGGCTGACTCTAATGCTGGCTGAGGAGAGGTGTCATCAACCCCACAAAATATGGAAGTGACAGCATTAATCCAGCCAGCAAGGTCACCTCCCCCAGGGCAGGTTGTCCCAGGTGAATGGGGCCAGGTGAGGATTCCCAGGTGCTCAGAAGGGGACCTTTGGAGGCTTGCCAGTGTGTGGGGACCACCAAAAACCCTGGAAGGGTGGCTGTTTTCTTACTCTTGCCCAGGGCAGAGCTCCTTGTGCCACACTGACTCTTTGGCAAATGGGCCAAAACTGGCACATCTGCAAAATGGGGCCAGATGGCAACTGGGATGAGCCTGGCCTGTGAGTCAGGTTGGGCTGGAAAGGTAAGGAAAAAAGCATTTTCACCCTAGGGAAACAATAAGGATATGAAATGGAAACTAGGACCTCTGAGCTCCTCTGCCCTTCCCCAGGGAGGACCTGTGGGGTGCAGAGGGCAGTCCCCAAAATCCAACATCTGTTGTAACTCAATTGTACTCTCTGAGAAATGTCTTTTTACTGTTAAATGTGCCATTGCTGCTGGAGTGACTTCCTTCTCTCCAGCTGGAACTGGAGACAAAGGAAAGAATCACTGGTAATAAGCTATTTATAGAGAAATTAATTTTGATACTTGCATCACTAATACAAGGCAAGGCAGCACCACAACTTTCTTACCGTGGTTGAGGACAGCACTCAGAGGAGATTGAGAGCCTTGAGGTCCTGTGAGTGGTAGGAGCATGTTTCAGCATTGCTTGGTTGCAAGAGAAGAACCCAATTTGCCTCACTGGAAAAACAGCCACTCATAAACCACAAGAACCCGTCGTTCTGGTCAGGCCCTTGGATTTTGTCAGGATTTTTTGAATACTCCTTCACAATTAAAATTCCCACTGAACTGTCTTGCTGTTTGCAAGGCTGATTGGGATTGGGATGGTGCAGGTAAGCTGGCAGGCAGGATTGCCCTGAAGCATCAAACTGCATTCAATTAGCCCACCTTGCCTGCAGGAACATGGTTAGCTGGCAGCACATCACCCCTCCTGGTAAATTAGATATCACACAGTGGCTTAGTCACACTGGAGAAGTACATGGCTCACAACTTGCTGAGACAAATTTCTCCCAGCTTTAATTAGCCATGAGATGCTGGAGTGCCCAAAGCACTCTCCCTGCCCATGTTTACACTCAGTGCATCAATCCAGTTTGGACTGAGGTCTCCAAATATTTGCAGTTAGCAAATACTGCTGTGTTTTGCCATTCCAGCTCTCTGCAATTAGCTGGAAAACACAGGTTTGTATCCCCAGTCTTTTCAAAAACAAAAGGGTGGATGCTCAGGTCCCAGGACTTCAGCAGGAGAGCCAGCACTGCTCATCCAGCTTCTCTGCTGTGTGCTGGCTCAGTGTCACCCCCAAAAAGAAATGAGAGGAGGAGAGGCTTCTGGCACCCTGAGGATGGAGCAGGGACCAAGCAGCAGGAGCTGCTAATATAAATGAAGGATCACTTAACATTTGATTCTGTCTTTGCTGTGTGGTTTTTAGCTTTGAGGACACTTTTCCCTTTCCACATCTCCTCCCCTCATATATCTCTTACCAATGTGATGACAGGCAGGGAACTGAGGTATTTCAAACAAGCCTCCATCATCCTGATGGTGGCATGGAGGTGCCCAGTCCAGCCAGCTCACACTTGCAAGCGCTAGACTTGGCACTTCTTATCTGACAGCAAATGCACTCAAAACCTTAAAAACAATCTGCATTTTAACCTTGGTCATGTTAAACAGCTTTCAGGATGCAGTCATGCATTTGCTGGTTACACAGAGCGCTACTGGCAGTTGTTAAATAATTATGTTTAATTTGCAGTAACAAAGCACACGAAATCCATGTTGCATAAACTCTGCTAAAGGTAAGTGTCGCTTTTATACAAAAATGCACAGGGCTAATTTAAAGATTTGAGGTCTGCCGACCCTCCAGGTTGTTGTAAACCATTTATATGTGTAAAAATGGATGCGAGAGGCAGCCCAGGTGGGTCTACCTGTTCGTGCTGGCAGCAGAGAGCTGCAGTTGCTCTGCAGGGATGGATGGGTTTGAACACGCCTGGCACTAAGGCACACGCTTAAAAACTTCCAGCTCATAAAGACTCGTCCTCTGTTCCAGAGGCACTGTCTGAGCCTGACTGCAGTAAGCCACGCCAGATAAGGGCTGCAACACTTGCCTTTGTGATGGCTGGTGGTGATTGTGGCACTGAGTGCCAGCCGTGGCTGTGGCACTGACCACAGAGCCCTCGGCGGTGGCAGCGCTGCCTTGGCCCTGGCATGGTGAGGGGACAGCTTGGCTCTGGAGCAGGGGAGGGGAAGAACCTGCTTGGCTCCCATAAATGATGCTGTTCTCCTCAAGCTAAACTGGAGCTTGAACTGATACTTTATTCCTCCCATCCAGCCTCAGAAAATGGGAGCCTCAGTCGCTGGGATGTTTTCCTTTGCCAAGCCTCTGCACAGCTCAGTTTTAGCAAAAAGTAAGCCCAGCCCCTGAGACATCTGTGGGGGACGTGATGTTTGGTAATGGTTCAGCATGTATACTTAAGCCAACACAAGCAAATGACAGGGGGAGCAACCCCATTACACAGCCTTGTGGGTTTCTGGCTGTGTTACAGCAGTGTGAAGGAACAGAGGGGCAGGAACAAGAGGTGGAGACAAGGTGACCCTGCTGTCAGGAAAGCAAAGGTCTGACTCTGCTAACGTGGTCCATCATGGTGGTTTGCTCTTTTGGACCCTCCATCCAGCATTAGGTCCAGCACCTTGGTGGGAGGTGCTGCCTGGCTTGCCTTGCCCCAGCCAGGTGCTGCTGCAATGGTCAAGCTTTGCCATTCATGTTGTGCTGCACCTTGGAAAGGTGTTTGCTGTGTGTGGTGTTGGCTGTGATACCTGGGAATTGAGAAGGTTTTCTCTTCTGCAATTACCAGAGTGGCTGAAAGGCACAAGCTCTGTAGTACCTGGCATTTTGTCTTCCATCTGCCTCTGGGCTTGGAGAAGCCAAAAAGGGAATAGAGGATTGCATTTACCCCTTCTCCCAGCATGGGTTAGCAGAAGCAAAACTATAAATCAGGAGGCATTTCAGCACTTACCTCCTGTTTTTACAGAAATCACTATACATTACAAGTGCCTTTGCATATTTTATAGCACTTTAAAAAGCCAATGTAGCTAATCTGGAAGTTGGCTTGTTCAGAGAAGCACAAAACATGTGCAGCCATAAAAATCCCTCATTTGATGTCAAGCTATTGCATTTTCAAGCATCTGAAAGGCAATCACTATTACGCATCCAAGGAGTTTGCCTTGACTCACCCCAGCTCCTCGTGGTTGGTGAGAACAAAAAGATCAGCACAGCATCTTGAAAAGTTGTGTTGTTGCCATACAGAGCAGATGTTTTGGTAGCAAAGGCAGCCTCCATCCAAGGACTCACCTTTAGAAGAGGTGCAAGGTGATGCCAAAAGGTTGGAGGAGTAATGGTCCTGGAGCAACTGGCCTCCCTCTAACAGGGAAACCTGGCTCATGGGGGGTTTGGGTGGCAAAGTGCTCTTCTGTCTCTGAGAGCTGGTGGAGAGCAGGATATTCATAAGTTTTCTCTCCTTTGGCTCTTACTACTACAAAATCTGTGGGAATCTGTTATTTTTGGAAAAGCTGCTTTTCTGCCTAGATGGATCAAGGGGTTCAGCAGTTATTTGTGATGCATATATAAGATATATAAGATGCATATTTTCATGCCCAGATACTCAGGGTGGTCACATAAACCCTCAG